AATGTGACATATAGGAACTTGACTAGGTGTAGATGCGGCTGTAAGTAGTAGTCAGTAAAGGCAGTACTAAAGATATCAACTATTTAAGTAGTCGCACATTAAGAGCGGAGCTTCAGAATAATGTAAAATTCTCACTGGGGGTATAGAGGGGATTGTGGGGTATCTATCCCCCCGAGGGTTAAAAATAACGTTTAAAGGGCCCATTATGCTTTTATTTTATTTTCCTTAAAAGCTTTTAATTTTGATGTTCTTCTATATTATCCAAAAAATACACATTGGCCAATTACCCGAACCATCTTTTTTATCTGTTGCTTTTTGGCGATGTTAAGTACAGTTATAGTGAATTAGTATTTTATAGGGAAGTCAAATACTACAGTGTTTTGACTTCTTTTATTTCACATTTATCGCAACTTTATTCAGGTAACAAGCATCTTACATTTCTCAGATACCATTATTTTAACATTATAAAATTCATGTTTGCTCTTTCTAAAGAAGTATGTAAGATTTACCATAAAAAGGCCTCTGGCGAACGGTTGTTACGGAGCTTACAAAAACCCTAAAGTTTGTTGATAAGCTTAATAACGATTTTGTAAAAATCACTTTTTATAGTCCGATCGAAAAACTTGATGTTTCACCAGAACATTGCAATACATATATAGTTCTTTGGAAAAAAATATTAACTGCATTTTATTTAATTCCCAACATATTTAAAATGGGACTCAATATGGCACCAAAAGTTATCAAGTAAATGACCGACAGAACGGGATATTTTTCGCAGCATCTTTTAATTCTAGGAATGCACAATTACTGTACTAGAGTATTTTGGACGGTGGCATATAAGTGACATTCGTCTTTTTTTATACTTATTTTGTTTTCGTACATATTTTTTTGTTTGTATGTCATACATATTTTTTTGTAAATTTTGAATACATACATTTTTTAGTTTTGCATACATATTCTTTTTTAGTTTGCATACATATTTTATTTTAGTTTTGCATACATATTCTTTTTTAGTTTGCATACATATTTTATTTTAGTTTTTTTTTTTGTACATATTTTATTTTGTTTTTTCGTACATATTTTTTACATGACGCCATTTGCAAATTACATTACCTCATTTGCAAATACCAATATTTTCATTTTTGGAGGTATCAAAAAAGAACAACACTTTTAGTATATATATAAATATATAGTCCGCGGTAACCCAAAGAATGGTTCTGCATATGGTCTCGATGTGGTTAACATTTGTCACAAGGTGCCTTAAAATACTTCATGGGGTTTCGGAGATAAGGAGCGGACATGAAACCCAAGTCTTTATCCTTTGACCTGAAGGTGTGACCCCGACCTTGAGCCGGCACACCTGGCATATAAGTTCTGCACATTATCTGGATGTGCTAAAGGGAGTGGTGCATATTCATGGAATAATAACTGACCACCAATCAACAGCCCTTTCCAAATAGACACTAATATATTAGTATATAATAATAAAAAACAATAATTATATAAAATGCATATAATATAAAAAAATGGACCGAAAAGGGTCGGCCGAAACCAGACTTGCCGGCCGACTGAGCCGATTCCAAAAATGGGCCGAAATGGGACCAAACCACTGTGCTAGTTTTATACTCACCTATGGGCTGTTATGAGATTTGAAGGCTGTTTTATTGGCTAAATTATGTATGAAAAACAAAAATAAGATATGTACGAAAAACAAAAATAAAATATGAATGCAAAACTAAAAAAAATATGTATGCAAAACTGAAAAAAATATGTATGCAAAACTAAAATAAAATATGTATGCAAAACTAAAATAAAATATGTATACAAAACTAAAAACAAGAAAATGCAAATGTCACTTTTATGCCACCGTAATTTTGTTAAATGAACACAATTTTTAGATATTTCACGTGGTAAAATTAATGAAACTTTTATCACTTAAGCATCATAAAGTATTGATCGCCATCTTGAATTCCACCTCAAATATTCCAATGTCGCAGATAGAAAATAAGTCAGTACCCAGTATTTAAGCAGAACTCAGATGACACCTTTAGACCTCTTGAACCCAAAGTGCGTTGATATATAGCATATTAACGCACTTTAGGGTCAATTTCTCGATTTTAACCCCAAAGTGCGTTGGACCCCAAAGTGCGGTGCGAAGTTTAATGCACTTTAATTGGGGTCGGACCCCAAAGTGCGTTTGACCACAAAGTGCGGTGTTACAATGCCATAAGGCTGCCAAGAATAATTTTATAACGCACTTTCAGGTTTTATTCGGCATGCTTATTAAATCTGTCTTTCTTATGAAGTTCAATAAATGAGTATAATATTATGTCTCTAAATTTTATTTACTGAAATTTTCAGCATGATCGTATCAAAATAGACGCAAATATGAGACCATTTACAAATGCACAGTTATTAGTGCTGCAAATAGGGTATAGTGACAACGAAGTGGTTTATGTCAGCCAAAAGCAAGTTTTATATACTAGGTCTCTAGTGGAGTGGATATTCATTTGGCTCAGTAATTCATGATGGCGTCCAAGATGGCCGCCAAACCCGTTCAAAATTATAAATATTGATTTTGCGTAAAATCTTTCCTTTATTGGAGAGGAAAACCTTGATATTTGCTTATAATAATTCATAAATAGGCAAATTAATGCTTCAAATATGGGTTCTTGTTATGATAATGTCATTTATGTTTTAAAAAGATATTTTTATTACATATTTTCAAATTTTATGTTCTTAGGCTTTTAAACCTCTATAATATGGAGTCCCTTTAAGCAAACGGCAGAGGACAGTAAATTTAGCTGTTAGTAGTAAGCAATGTGACGTGGGCAGAATCGTTTGCGATGTCAGCAAAATATTCGTAATGTGTTAACGTCTTGTATTATAAGATTTTCACAGTAAATAGTACACAATACACAGTCACTATCTAATGTTTGTTTTATGTTGGAAAATGTTTCCCATATGACCAACTAGACGTTCAGCTTTCTTGGTGGAGTAAGACCCCAGGTGCCACTCTGGTCATTTTCATACCCGAACGGGCACTTGGTTAGAACCACCCGCTTTCCCACTTAAGCAATACGAAATTCGTTTCCGGTATTCAAACACAGCAGCGGTTAGGGGTAAGTGCTTGCGAATCGAAGATATTTACCATTCGGCCACGAATGCCCATGTATATAGAAATTGGTTGGCTTTAAGCCATATGACCGAGCACAATTAATTAGTGTTCATAAAATTATAACATCATATATGATTAATAGCTAAGGATAGTCAAAAGGTTGATCTCTACTTGTCAAGCGCCCACTCGAGTCCCTGTGGTATATTCTAGCTAGGCCGTGGATATGGCGTGAGGATTATTGAGTCTCAAACCACAAGCAAAAGCCAATTAACCATCCTCCATGCAAATAGGCCAATTTCCAGGATCCGAGTGGAGGGTATACATGCTAGGATGGTATACTTAATGTTTAGGGCATACTTATTATCCTGGATACCAGCCACCAATCGATCGTGAGGTACTCGGTGGAAGGTATACGCCTTATACGCTAGGATTCTCTGACCGCTCAAGCCCCAGCAAGGCATATACAGTGAATATTTCGAAATCGAGCATGTTATTCGGTCAAGAAGTAGTAAAATCAAGAATAAAAGATTGATCCTTTATCAAAACCAGGTTTTAATATAGTCGCAGTGAACAGTTTTGAGATAGCCTGGATGCGTGCGTCACATTTATTATGTGACTGCCTGTGAGTAAAATACACAAACACTGAAACTTATAGTTCTTTGACCAATGTCATTGCAACTACCTTATACATGAAAGTAAGCCAGTGTAATCTTCTGCGTTCTTGGAGGCTTGGTAATTCCAATTGTTCCAGCATTGATGTTGCGCAGTCTGGATCCCTAGAAGTATAGTTGTTAGTAATGAAACGAGCGGCTTGTCTTTGTATACGTTCAAGTTTATCAATTTCGTTTTTGGTATAAGGGTCCCAGATAGTGCATCCGTATTCTAATTTGGAGCGGACTAGACCTAGCTAGATAGGCATTTTTGCGGCATGGTTTAGGACAATGGCGTAAGTTCCTTCTTAAGAATCCAATAGACGAGTTAGCTCTTTTACAGATGTTACTAATATGTGTTGACCATTTCATATCTTCTGAGAAAGGTAAGGATTGACTTGAACCTGTTGAAGTGTGTTATTATCAATGTTGTAGAAATGCATGGATTTTGACTTCGAACACAGCAGATAACATTTTTTTTCGTTAAATTTCATCCCCCATGTAGATGCCCAGATTTGGAGATTGTCTAGGTCTTTTTGAAGTTCAAGATAGTCTTTTTGGGACTTGATTTGGCGATATAGTAAACAATCATCAGTAAATAAGAGTTCTATCTATTTGTAAGTATCTTTATTCAACTGTATTACACAATGATCAAGACCTGAAAATGATAAGAACAGAAACTATAATAAACTGATAAACTATGACAATTATCCTATATCTCCCCCCAAGTCTTTTGGCAGGCAGTATCTATTTAGTTTATGAACATAATGAACTGAATGAAAAAGACTGATATTTAACTTGAAAGTAAAGAAACACATGATAATATTAATAACCACTGATTTATCATTGTCTTATAGAATATTGACTGTTGAACGTCTTCATTTATTCACTTTATACACTGATAGTAGAGTTCATGGTATGTGCATTTATTCACAAACAAAGTCTTTTTGCCATTCTGGGGCATGCCTAATGCGGCTGGACCGTCGTGGCGGGGTGGAAGTAGACTCAACCGTTGGCGATGGAGCAACCGTTGCTTTAGCACATGGTGGACCTGTGACAACATCTGGCGGTGAGATGGCATCTTGAGTTCTTGGTTCAGAGTATGTGAGCTGACGACATGGACTTTGTACCTGGGTGCAAGTAGGTGTCTCGTGTGAGGCTTCCGTGGTAGGCAGGCATGCAGGCCCGGGTGACTGTTCCGGCACTGTGACTGTTTTCATCGGAGTTGTTAATCAAGGCTTCACTGTTGTGTCCGTAGAAACAGTAGGGGAAGTGACAGGCTTCAGCGAAGAAAACGATGGTTGGTGTAGCGTAGTGTCAGTGTCTATGATAGTCCGCTTTTGTGGCAACTGAACTGGAACATATTTGCGAAGAAATTTCCTGTTCCGCAGAGTGACAGGTCCAGAACCATCAATGCGCACAACGTACTGGTCAAACTGGCGCACCTCAATTACTACTCCTGTCTTATCCCACTTGCGAGGGAATGAGCCAATTTGGTTTTGCATCCGAACGTGGTCTCCAACAGAAAGAGGTGGTAGTCTTAGTGTATGTTCCGACAGTCTTTCTGCACATTGCATATGTCTGTTGCGCAATGCCTCTTCACGGGCAAGAGATGTGTTTTGCCATGTTGGATGAGGCTTGTATTTCCCAGGTGGAATTGGGATGAAATCTCTGATTGGTCGACCAAATATGCATATGGCTGGGGAGAGCTTCGTGTCTCTGTCTGGTGTATTTCTGTATTGTAGCATGGCTCGCTGGAAAGAGTCTGTATCAATGTCGCCAGAAGAGCTAGTACTAGTATTGTCCATTAGAAGGCGTTTGACTGTCTTGACTCCAATCTCTGCTCTGCAGTTGCTGTGAGGGAAGGCTACTGAGGATAATCTATGATGCACACCCCAGTCACTTAAGAACTGCCTTGTAGCTGTAGCTGTGAATTCTGGTCCCCCGTCAGATGCAAGTTCGTCAGGTATCCAGTATGTAACAAAGATGCGTCTGAGGCAAGTTAACAGTCCTTGAGCTCCAACGGCTGACTGCTCTACGACCAGTTTGAGTAGCGGTCCACAACCACCAGGTAATTGTTACCTTTGTAAGTAAAGTAATCAGCACAGATGCACTGGAAAGGATACTCAGGGCTCATTGGTGGAACTGGTGGAGCACTCGGGTTGAACGGTGCATTGCGGTTGCATTGTTGGCATCCTGCACGAAGAATGTTTATGTCAGGCGTGATTCCTGGCCAAAACACGGATGTCTCAGCTCGAGCTATCATGGATGTAACACCTTGGTGAGCTGAATGTAAGGCATCTAGAACTTCCTCCCTGAGTGATTGCGGGAAAGCTACACGGTCCTTGTACAGAATAACCCCATCAGTGGTCGACAAGCCTTCACGGTATTGGAAATACTGTCGTAGAGATTCTGGTACTTCATGACGGTGCTGTGGCATTCCACCTTCTATGATCTCACTCAGTAGAAGCATATCCTGGTCACTGGCTGTAGCTATACGAACTCTATCCCAGGTCACCGACTTCAGGCCAATGGTGTTCGATGATGCAACAGCAGTTGAAATCATGTTTCCGTCTCTGCCACTTCTTTGAATGTATTGAGTATTTGAATTTTCCAGATGGAAGCTCTCTGGAGTTCTGTGATTGGTCACTTGCGCAACATCATCAGGTAAGATAAGTTTTTCTACATCACTAATAGGATGGCGTGAAAGGCAGTCTGTAACATGATGTTTGACGCCAGGGATGTGGACCATACGAAATGTGTATCTTAGTGTTTTCTCCTTTAAAGGGAGACACAGGCAAAATTTTCACTTCTTAGTTTTGAAGTTTTCATTCATTATTCTGTAAATGCCCTCAAAATGAATATATTAGACAGTCAATGGAACAAAACTTTTTCCATATAAAGAATAAAATGGTGGTTTCCTAACTTGACCCGCGTGGGTCAGGTTAGAGCGCTATGATTTCGCAATATTTGTAAAAGTGAACTCTGGAAACGTTAAAGAACATTTCAAATGAATGACATAGACTTGATTCAATCATACAATATCCAAACTATCTGTTATTGTAACTTAAAGGGTTAGTTCAAGTCACCTGACTTATTTTAAAACTATTTGGTGATTCTATTGGCGTCTAAATTTTGTTCAACAAATAAAGATATATTTATGTTTCAAACCCAAAATATATAAAATTCAAACAGAAATTCATGCTGAAACTTCAAGAAACGTCATTTTAGCCTGATTTGAGTACATAAGATCATTTTAATATTTTTGTCAACATTTTGCCTGAATATCCCTTTAAATTTCTCAGACGATTGTCCTCAAGAGATCGGTCACTGAAGATCTTAAGAAGTGGTTTATGGTCAACCGCAATGGTTAAGTCCTTGCATCCTAATACAAAGTATCTGGCCTTGTCCAGGGAATCTGCAACTGCTAGTGCCTCACCCTCGATAGGTGCATAGCGAGATTCTGCTGAGTGAGTGAATCTACTGCCAACAAGTGTGATCTTCCATCCAGATGGACAACAAAAAGGTTCTGTCTTATCACATTTACAGTGTTTCTGAAGGAGCCAGAACCCGATACCTGATTTAGACCAATCAGTTGTCAAACATGTGGGTCTGTCAGGGTCAAAGATGCGAACGCCTTCTTCTATTTCTTTTACAATCTGTGCTTTTGACTCCTCAAATAATGTCTGAAGACGTTCATTCCACTGGAAAACAGTACCTTGCTTCAAGAGATCCCGAAATGGTAACATGCGCTCTGCCATACTGAAAACATGACACCTGATTTACAAGGCCAAACCATGAACGCACGTCTGTGATGTCTTTTGGTGTGGGAAAGTCCATGATGGCTTGCAGGTATCTCTGACAGGGTCTGACTTCATCACGAGTAATTTCAAAGCCGGCAAACTCGACCTCATCTGCTCCGTAGACAAACTTTTCTGGATTTAGTGTTATACCGTTCCTTCCACAGACGTCAAGCCAACGCACTGCCTGGAAGAAACTTTCTTCTAGGTCATTTGCCCAGAGTAAGGCGTCATCAATACACTTGGTTTTGTTTGGAATGTCTGTAACAACCTCATCATAGCGTCTTGTGTAACCATCACCTGAGGCAATGTAGCCTTGTGGGGCGGTTTTGTAACGGTATCTTCCCCATGGCGTGATGAATGTTGTAAGATATCGGTGTTCTTCATATAGTGGGACACTATGATAGCCATTCCAGGCATCAAACACTGTCTTTTTCTTCCCATTTGGAACCGATCGCGCTTGGAGGAATGGGGAAGGTGTGTGATGTGTCTCACGTGTGGCATGTGCATTGAGAGCCTGGAAGTCAACTGTTCGTCTGAGCTGTCCATTTTCCTAGCACATATGACCATCCGATGGCACCATGTGACAGGTTCTCCAATGGGGACTGGTTCCAGCACGCCCAACCGTACATCTTGATCAAGGCCTTCTTTTACTGCAGCTCGCCAGTGTATTGGAACGGGTACTGGTGTGTGATAGGCCACTGGTTCAGCGTTTGGATCCACCATAAGCTTCATAGGTGGGACATCCATTAGAGGCAGAGGCTGGTGTTTACATGTGTTGAATGTGCTGGACCTGTAGTAATCAAGAAGATACTCCTGTAGTTTTGAGCGGTTTTCTTCTGTAGGTGAAAATGGCAGAACACTTGGCGGTGGAGGTGGAGATTGGCGCTCAGGACATCCGCATGGCGCAGTGTTCTCTCCATGGACAGCTGCGGTACCGGTTTGTAAGGGCTGTATCTCAGGAAACCTATTGCTGATGATACCTAGCTTGTACACATGCCTCTCTGCTCAGAAACAGTTTGTCTGAAGAGTCTGTAACATATGTCATCTGCCTCGTTTTCCACCACTCTACCACTACTGTCTTTGCTTGAGAACCGTAGTAAAAGAGGCTCCAAGAATCTTGATACCGTCATTGTTAGCTGTGTGTGCATGCGCATTTGTCACAGGGATAAGGTCAGATTTAGATAGTCCTATGCGATGAATAACTTTAAGACCGGCAAGGCAGCTCTGACAACCGGTGTCAACCATAGCAGGAATAATGGTGGGCGCTGACGGTGTTGGCAGGTCGACTCCAAAGGCTGAGTAATCTTCAGGAAGAGCTCGCACAGTAATGTTCACAAATGGCTGAGGCTTTGAGTTTCTGCGAAACCACGTGTCTGTCATGCTGTCATAGATGTGATGATCTAATGAAATACTTTGCCGTTTTCCGGTTTGAATAGTGTTTAGATTGTCATGCTGTGGTTGAAGGGAATTCAGTGTACACAAGGTGTTAAACACAGCACTTTCTTTGTCAAAGTTGTGTTGGCTAGACTGTGTTTGTCGTTTTGGGTTGTCCTTGCTGCGGCAGATATTCTCGAAATGGTGATCTCGATGACAAAATTCACACCTGTGGCCATATGCAGGACACTGAGTCTTACGCAGTTGTGCCACACTTTTCTTGCCATGACCACGTTTCCCACAATAAGAACACAGGTCTTGATTGTCCTTGCTGAGGGCTTGCTTGGACCTTTTGTAGGAGCTGGCTGCCTCAACCGAATGAGAATCTAAAAGCCTTGAAGCTGAACGTTTCCCTGCTTCCTTCGCTTCAACGAATTGAAATACTTCCTCCAAAGTCATATTTTGATTTTTGTCGCCAAGTAGGTCTAACTGAATATCAGGGCCAACAATTAACACCTCGTGTGAGGACGTCGCGCATGATGGTATCTGTGTAGTTGATTTTGGCACTACAGTCAGGGCAGTCAATCACGAATTTGCAAATGTCAGCTTGTCCTCTGAGACGTGCACCAAAGTTTCTGACTGACTCATCACGGTCTTGTCTCATGTTATGTAATGTCACACGAGCTACCATTGTGTTCTCTTCACGAACAGCAAGTTTTCGAATGGCGGCTAATACATCGTCTACTGCCTTTTCAGTTAATTTGCCACCTGTTGTTCTAGTCAGGTCTCTGCGTAGGGGTTCGTCACAACACTCAAGCAACTGAATGACTTTGTCCTTGCCCTTCAGTTTGGTTGCGGCCACATAGTCTGTCCAGCGTGATAGAAAGTAGGCCGAGTCCTCGCTGGTTCCAGCGGCGGTCACGGTAGGTCGCTTCACTTTCTCCACTTTTGCAGTCAAAACAGGTGCATTTGTGTGTACAGCACTGTGGGCTGTGATGAGTGCTGCAACAATCGCTGCATCTAGATCAGCGGTGCTGTAGTCACAGTCGGGAAATGGACACTGTACTGCAGGCATTGTTCTTGCGTCACTGTATCTTGATCATAAATAAGAGTTCTATCTATTTGTAAGTATCTTTATTCAACTGTATTACACAATGATCAAGATCTGAAAATGATAAGAACAGAAACTATAATAAACTGATAAACTATGACAATTATCCTATAATCAGCAAACAGCCTCACTTGTGATTTTACATGGTCCGGAAGATCGTTAATATGTAATAAGAAGAGCAATGGTCCCAACACTGTACCCTGTGGGACTCCAGAACCCACATTTACTGACGATGATTGTTCGCCTTCTACGACAACACTCATCTTGCGCTACATCAAGAAGTTGGCGATCCAAGTATGTAAGTTACCTCTGATGCCATAGGAGTGAAGTTTATGAAGAAGCTTTTTGTGGGGAACAGTATCGAAATCTTTACTGAAGTCCAAAATGATGGTGTCTACTTGTACGTTATTATCGTACATGGACAAAAGATCGTGAGTGGTGACAATAAGTTGTGATTCGCATGAGAAGCCGCTTCGGAAGCCATGATTCAATGACGTAAGTGCTTTGAATTTATCCAGGTGATCCAAGATGTGCCGACAAATAATATGTTCCAGTAGTTTGGAAAGAATACAAGTTAATGAACCAGGTCGATAGTTTTCTGGGAGGTGTCTGTCCCCTGTTTTGAAGATAGGTGAAACGAAGGCATTTCTCCAATCGGAGGGTAAATTTCCCGTGTTGGTAGATATGTGGAATATAGTTGAGATTGCTGGTGCTAGCTCTTCTGCACAATATTGAAGAACTTTTGTTGGTAATTCATCAGGTCCGACTGCTTTAGATATATCTAAGTTCTTAAGAAGTTTAAAAACGCCGATATTTAATTTGAAAATATACATGGTCCGCCTCGTCTCGAGTCACGGTCCGCCCTGTCCCAAAATTTGGTCCGCCCCGTCCAAACATACGCCCGCGCTGGTACGGTCCGCCTTGACGTACATCCTCACCAGAACCGAGTCATTCTGTGTTTCTATAGTTGACATACACTGTTGTAAAGTTCTATATTAAAACAGGCACTTAACTGGTTCATTTAGCACGTTCACAGACATTATAGTGTGGAGCTCGTAACGCATCAAAGCAACTCCGCCTAGAAAAATAAAATTTTAATTTCATAGATCAGCTGCTGTGGCACAAATAAATATGCATAATATATATACTGTACTTAATATTGTTAAGAAATATACTTCTAAATAATTAAAAATCGTATTTTTGTGTTATATTTTAGCCCATTTTTCTCAGTGAGGTTAGTTTTTAAGTGTTGAGTGATTTGAAATTTTGCACACAAGTTATTACTTTAAGATAACTTAAATGGAGCATAGATCTACAGTAATCTCGAAAATTTATTTACAGTCCCGTCAGTGGAGTCCCTTTTAAATCCAAAATAATTGTATATATATGTCAATCGTAGCACATATACTTATCTTATTTATATCAATAAACCTTAAATTAAGTTTTATTGATAAATATGATTAAAATATGTGACATGGAGTCTGTCGTTCTGGTAGTTTGTTAACGTTGGCTTCATTTTTAAAAACAATAACAACTCTGCCGACAGTTATTGATAATTAGCTATTAAATGCTATTTTGGCGTTAAGACATTTGAAGTTTGATGTAATACTGTTTAATACAATTCTTTTCAAGGTATTCTTATATGTTATATTGATTTATTGAATATATAATTCCTTATTATGATTATTATTCAATCACATATTTCGGACAGATAATTTTCGGACATTATATTCTAAGTAGATTGTATACTATTGTAATTGTGAGAGCTATCTAACAGGTTTTTTATACATAACACTATCATGTATACATTAAACCCTCTGGCTGCACATTTTTATTATAACTCTTCACATATTTGGATGAATTATTCACTCAACACTTCTACACACTATTTTTTTGTTGAAGTAGGAGCATTTCACCGGGCCCGCATTTCACAGTCTATGCGAAAGTCAATTTTTTTTTCAGGACACAAGGACCGAGACCCTTCAGTTTATTTCCGGCCCGGATGATAGTATTCCGGCCCAGACATTTCAAGCATTATTTTATAATAACTCAGTTGAATGTTAAAAATGATTGTCCTTCTTTAAATTAGTGTGACTATCATTAGTGTGACCATCATATAGAAACAAAAGAAGATGCTGACCAATTGAAATAACTTAAGCAGGTTCCTCAATAGGATTTTCAAAGTAGGAATCCTGGGACTTGCAGTTGACGAATATGATATATGAGCAGAGTAAGGGGTTGGGGAGACGGAGTTTGAACAGAGAAAAAGCTTATCCAGGAAAATGGTAATATGTCCAAATTGGAAAACACTGTACCATAAAAGTGATTAAAAACATTTGAAAAATAATTTAAAAAACCTTACATCATAAGACCATTATGCTGTTTTCTTCCAGATTCACTCCACCCCCGCCCCCCTATTAGAATATATTCATTGTGACAAACACATACTGGTAAATACCTCCATCTCAACTAA